GTGTGTGTGTGTGTGTGTGTGTGTGTGTGTGTGTGTGTGTGTGTGTGAGAGAGAGAGAGAGAGACACACCCCCTTAAAAGAGGAGAATCTGCCCTGCTCCCTACACATGTAACTCAATTACACTCAACATGATCCCGTCTGCTTGTGTTTCCAGTGCTGTGTTCTTCATAGCAGAGCCATCTGAAGTATATACAAACCTAAAGCGGAGCACCTGAACGTGGAGGATTGGATGACAGGGCCATCTTTTCCGGACTCATCATCAATCCTCCAAGGTGCACAGTGGAGTTTCCCAAATATCCATCCAGGCTCTCATTGTCTTTCAGTACGTCCCAGACGGGTACAGAGAGGCAACTCAATTGCAGGTCAGAGTGGACGCAAGCGGCGAGTGGCCAGAGAGAGAGAGGGAGAGAGAGAGACGCACTGTCTGCTCATTACCGATGAGGCCACTGTGCAGGCTTCTGCTGCCATGCATATCTGGAGTGTGCGGTAGCAGCATGCTGGCATTGTGTCAGTGCCAAAGGACTGGTTCACAGCTGTCGAGACGAGAGTTGCTACAGGATTCCTTTTGGTTAAAAATGGAACTACTTCGGGCCCGTACAGAGAAGTTTTAGATGCTTTACGATAGACGTGTGGAGGCGAGTTACCGTGTTATTTCCTTTTGTAAATGTGAGGGAAAACAAGGAGAGTAAAGTTACATGTTTGGGGTTCTTTGTGTAAGCGGGTGTGCATAAGTGGGTGGCGAGTTGCAGCACTGTTTGTGTTCGACACTTGAAACAACAGTCAGAGCGAGGGGGATTGTTGGTTCATGCTGATCTCCCATGGCCGTCTGTTTGTTTTCCCGTCATGCTGGTTCTGAATCGCTCCTCTGCCTCGAGAAACCTGAACTGGCTGTTTGTCCTATCTCTTCTAATCAGTGGTTATAACATCATGGTTGAGCAGTAAGCCTCTTTTTAGACTTCAGGCTCCAACTTTCCACAGAACCCCGGTGGTTGTTAGACGGCGCTCCTGTGCTCCAGCACAGTAGGCCTGTGTCTGATGGGAAGTCTCGAGGTTTCCACTGAATGATGTCAGCCTGAGTCAGAGCCACACCAAGGATGTGATGGCGTTTCCATATTCCAGCAGGATCTGACTCCTCTCTACACTCATCTCCCCCAGGAGCCAGACCTAGTCGTTCAGTCATGGGACCTCAAGACCTTTTTGGTGATTGTCAAAATCAGCCGATATTATTTTAGGTGGCATTAGATGC